ACCAAATTTTCTTTCTTTATTCACACACAGCAGCACCTGCTACATACCTCAAGAAAGAAGTTGCATTTTGTAGCTGACTTTTTGTTGCTGACAGTTCAACTTTGACCATTTTAAGTGTCCAAGAAGACACGGATGGGGAGGTGATCTTCCTGGTTACAAGCATGAGCACTCTCTCCATCCATCTCCTCTCCTCTTCCCACTATGCAACAAAGTAACAGTCCCCGGTTCTACTCCTAGCCCCACGAAGGCAAAGCTGCCTGGATTGTGAATAGGGATGAACACCCCCGGCTTCTGGGGAACAGACAGCACATATGGCCTGGCTGAAGGAAACCCAGTATCCTTCTTAAAGAAGTTTTAAGGGGAGGAGTTACAGTCCCTCCGAGAAGTCCCATCACACAGGTGACACCACTTGCAAGTCCAGGAGCAACCAGCAGTGACATCTGGCACCTGGCACAGCTCAGGCTTTCCAGGCCTCTCCTTGCTGGCTTCCAGGTACAGGTAGTTCTCAGGACTGTGAAGCTGCGCCTGAGCGCCACTAGCCAAGGACTTGGCCCTCCCTGGGCCTCTCAAAAATGCCTGCGAGTGAAGGCACAATGCCTCTACCCTGAAACCCCCACCAGCCTCAAAGCAAATCATCTTTCTAATTCTTTTTTTTATCTTTTAATTCTTAAACACCAAGTATTTAATTTATGCTGTACCTCAAATGTCAAGTCCACCTCCCAACACATAGCTTTGAAACCACGTAAGGAGGCCTAACACTTTCCATATGGTGAAGACATGGGCCTTTTAATTGTGCCAACTGGTATCATTCAAGGGTAATTCCCCTGGAATCCAGAATTCAGGCAGCAGCTGGATCAGCCCCCAATCTCATCACCCACCGGGCCCCATGCAGCACGCCTGCACCTTCCTAATCTTCCCCAAATATCAAAATGTGCTAGGTGCCCCTAATCAAATTACCAAAGTGCTTGGCGGCTGCCTTTGATCTCCGGGGGGCTTGCTTGCCCCCAAACCCCCAACCTATTTCTGCAAGCAGTTTTGCTATAAAAGAACAAAAAGGATCCTAGTTCACCCAGTAAAAGTTGTTTTGAATCTGGTTACACGTATGCACATACGCATGTGTGCCCATGCTCACGGCATGGGTCACCAGCAAGTTGTCCTCCCTCCTGCCTGAGTCCACTCAGTTGCCCTGTCTTCCTAGGAAGCTTCATCGTGCAGCCGCTGCTCGCCTCGCATTTCTACTGGGCTGTCTCTTACCGCCCGCCGCTCTGTTTCCACTGTCTCTTGGCGATGAGTGTGTTTTAGCCTCTAATTCTGCTCAGTACATGTGTCCCAGGCATGGTATTTGGCTCAGTCTACCGTCCTTGGTTCACAGTGCTTTTCTGTCTCCTGTCACTCACCACTTTTCTCCTTTGAGCTTATATTCCCTTGTGCGTCATCAAGCATCCATGGAAAGGCAAAAGCCCAGGCTTTAGCCTGGGTCCCCCCCAGGTGAGCCTACAGTGGAAGGGTGCAGGGTGAAGAGCACTAACATCAGGACCCTAGATAAGCATCACCCTTTAAGCCGGGTTCTACTCCTTCTCAAGATTTATCCACCTCAACTCGGACGTGGATGACATTACTGTGCCCATTTTACAGATGTGCTTACCAAGACACATAAAGTTAAAGTGACTTGCACGAGGTGGCGAGCTACCGTGCAGAGCCTGACCTCATTCACTTCTGTATGCTGAGGGGCAGGCTGAGTTGAGTGCCTGTGTGGCCACCCTCACACCCTAGGGCTGTGCATGCAACTTGGATCCCACCACAGACATGGGGCAGGGAGGGCTCCTCTTGCTTCTTCCTACCCTGCAACTAGCTCATATGGACACGGTGGCAACTGTCTGTGAGCCCCTCTCTGGGAACCAGGCAATGCTGGGCTTCACACACGCTGACTCTGGAAAGGGAGACATCTTAGTCTACACCAGCTGGCTGCAACTCCAGAGGGCGATGGGGAGATTAAAGTAATAGAAGCAATGTGCTTGGCACATGCAGGCAAGAGTAGATTTCACAGCAGTAATAATGTTGTCAGTTGAATAAGCCAGTAATGTGTCCCCAGCCACTTTGGGGACAGAACAGGTAGAGAAGAGGACACAGAGGCCTTCACCAAGCTACAAGAAGCTGTCAGTCCTGGAAGCTAGCAGACTGCTGGAGCCCACACCCATCAACATCCTGATGATATCATGGAAGGACCTGTCAGCCACCCCTCCCATGCCAGTGGGACTCAGGGAAATGACAGGCTGAAATGTGCTCACCACTAGCCTGCCCCCCTCAACGTCCCCACCGCTGCAGCATTCGTTCTTACGTTCCCAACTATGACCACTTGAACCCAGTATTTTTCCCTGTGCTGACTTTGAACTCGCCTCCTCTTTCAACTTTGATTCATCCTAAGTGATAACATCCACGAAATCGTGTGTTTGATGTCCTAGTTATGTTTCCCTGATTAAAAAAGATAGATACCTATAAAGATAAAAGACATTCCCTCTGAAGACCACCTGAACTGCTTCACAGGCCGCCACCAGTGCGACCCCACACTTCGGCTCAGCCTGGTCATTCGCTAGGGTTGACGCATGGCCCCACTGCTGTGACCACCACAGGTTGGAACCCAGGCATCCAGAGCTGTTAAGATCCACTCTCGAGGAAGCAGAGGCCTCCCTCCCCCCACTCGACATCTTTGATGGCTGGGCCCACCCTCTTAACTATCCAACACATGTCACACTGATGGCTCTATGCCTCACATCTTCAAAAGGACTTTGAACAAATATTAATGACCCCTCCTTTTCAGAAAGGGGGGTGAGGCAGAAAGTGGAGCAGGCACCATCCATCCCATGCTGTCCTCAGCTGGGGGGAGAAACCAGGCAACGAAATTCCGTGACTTCAGCAAAGCCACAGGCTTAAGCAGGGGCCCCCTCCCCCTTCTCCATTTCCCCCAATGGCAACTTTTACTGGCTTGCATTCCTCTTGCTGGGAACACTACTATTTAATTAAAAACGACAGACTTTTGTTTTCCTCTCCTTCTTCCCCCTCCCTCCCATCCTCCCAGCCTGGATGCCAAGGAGACCCACCAAAAACATGCGGGTAACATTTGTTATGGCTTTGAAGATAAAAGTCAATTGAAGCAAGCCCTCGCTGTATTTCAAGTTTCCCCTCTAGCATGGAGTAAAAGCTGCCTGGCAGTTTAGGGGGAAAAAAGAGAGAGGAGAGAGAGAAAGAGGAGAGAGACAGAGCCTAAATAAATGTCATTCTGCAGGAATACTTTATGAAAATAAACAGGCTGAAAAAAAAAAAACCAAAACCTGATTAATGAAAATCCTCTCTGCTGGCCTGTATTGAGCTGCAAATGCATCTGTTCATATGTCTAAATTGGATTGTTTTCATTGGTCCTTAAATAAATAAGTACATCAAAAACTAGGAGTAGTAGGGGACAGAGAAGTTTGTGGTTCTGTTAAAAGGCTCTAAATGCAGCGCCTCTGCCCCCTGGGCCCAGGCCTGACCTTTCTACTAGGGGAGCAGCTTCAATCCCAGACAGCCAGCAAACTGGAGGGCCTGGAAGAGAAGCCTGAGTCACACAGCAGAGAGGGAGCTTATCCCAGAGAGAGAACATTTAACATACCACACACACACACACACATACACACACATACAGACACACACACAGACACACACACACACAGACACACACACAGACAGATACACACACACATACACAGACACACACAGACACAGACACAGACACACACAGACACACACACACAGACACACACACACCAACACAGACACAGACACACACACAGACACACACAGACACACACACAGACACACACAGACACACACACAGACACACACACACACACACACACACAGACACACACACACAGACACACACACAGACACAGACACACACACACAGACACACACACAGACACACACACACAGACACACACACAGACACAGACACACACACACAGACACACACACACACACACACCACCTCCCTGCAATGGTGCTGTCAGGTGTTACCACCCAAACACACACACACACACACACACACACACACACACACACACACACATCTGAAGGCTCCAACAGCCTCACCCAAAGAACAAGACCAAAGAACTAACCAGACCTGAAGCTTGGTCTGTTCCCCCTCTAAGTTTAAAAAAAAATTAAATGTCACATCAAAAAGTTGATTCATCCTTTGATCCTCAGCTTGCAAGAGTTCCACGCAGACCATCTGAAAGCCCTGTGCTGAGTTCTGGAGCTCACAGGACATCTGTGAACACCAGTCCCAGGCCAGACACAGGCTGGACTCACGCACTCCCCCATGCCACTTGCTCCTGCAGAACAACTCTAGCCTCAAGAACCCCCTGAGTGAAGAAAGAGGGTGTACCCAGGTCACTACACAGAACCCCACACACACACCGTACCTCCCCCCTGCCTCCGAGAGCCACACTAAGGGGACAGTCAGGTCTCAGTGCCTCCGAACTCTACACTCAGGTGGCAGATGGCACTGATGAATGCCACAGACGCAGTTGGAGGTGGCCACAGCTCCTGGGCCAGCACGGCTCTGCCCTCTACCCAGACACTCCTGCCTGCCGCTAGTCCTAACTCCTCCCTGTGGAAAAGCCGGCCACAAAAGCAAAGCAGAGGAGGCCTCCCCCGTACACACACACACACACACACACACACACACACACACACACACACACACACACACCAAAGCACAGCTTCCCCACCCACTAGACCTGTTTCACCTCCTCCCTGGCACTTCCTCCCCAAGCAACCCTCTGTGCCCAACTGGGCGGGGGGATTGTGCCAGCTTGGTCAACAAGGGTCTCCCAAAGCATGGGGCACAAGCAGGGCTGGTGCACTGAGAAGGGGTTTGTGTCAACAGGATGCTAAAAGTTGAGGGGGAGGCCGCAGATCCTCTCCAAAGCTGAAAGGGTGGAACAGAGCAGGGGCCATACCCGGGTGCCTCGACCAAGAGTGCCTGCCAATCTCAGCTGTCGGGGTCCTGAGACACTGCCTGGACAGCGCTGCCTCCCGATCCACTCCTCGATGCCTTTCCGTGCCCAAGCAGCGCTCACAGCAAAGCTGTCACCTGAGGCGGGAAGAACACCAAGACCTTGAGTCTGGGGCCCCCCAGCTGGCAAAAAGTTACCTGAGAATGAAGGGAAGAAGACAGGGCGGCGCAGGCCGAGAGTAAAGGCTTGGCAGGGGGGTCAAGCGCGGGACGGAGCAGAATCCAAACCAGGGAGGTAGCCAAGAAAGGGGGCTCAGCGAGATCCTAAGTGCAAGGATTCAGAGGGTGCAAGCGAGTAGGCAGTAGCCTGACTGAAGGAGTTAGGGGTTCGGAAGAAGGAGCTGAGGGTCGGGAGAGAGGGTGTAGTGGCCGCAGAAGCCAAGTTCTCCTGAGAAGGGGCTGGCGGCCAGAAGGAAGGCACAAGATCTCGGGAGTGGACGCCGCCAAAGTGGATAGGGTTAGGGTCAGCAGTGGGAGCACTGGGCTGCGGGGACGGGGTAAGAGGGACAGAGGGGCCCCAAAGAGCGCTCCCGGGGCGGGGCTGGGGGGCTGGGGCAGCCCTGGTAATGAGATCCAGCGGCTGGGCCGGCCGCGCCGCCTCCCTCGCCCCCCCACCTCGGCCGGTGGTCCGCGCTCCTACCTTCCGGGCTCTCCCTGCGCTTGCACACGGCGGCTGCGGGAACATCGCGCGCGGCGGCGGCGGCGGCGGCGGCGGCGGCGGGAGCCGAAAAGAAAGGAGAGGGAGAGTTAGCACCGGCGGGAGGACGCGGGGCCGCGGCCGGCGAGCGGGCTGGGACACTGACCCGGCTTCGAGTGAAGTTTCCCCATGCTGGGGCGCGGCGGCGGGGCGTCCTAAGCCATGCGTCCGGCCGCCAACCCCACGCCAGCCTCGCTCGCCTCCTCCTCACAGTCCGCGCGCCGAGCGCAGCCCCAAGCGGCGCCGAGATGCGCTCCTGCCGCCGTAGCCGCGGCCGGACTGACGCCCGGGCGCGCCGAGCCCCCTGCCCGCCGCCGCGGCCCCGCGCCTCCCCAAGCGCCCATTGGCCGGCAGCGGCCCATCAAAGGCGAGGCGGACGCTGCGGGGCGGGTAGAGGCGGGGCCTTGCGGGTAGGGGCCTGCGGAGGGGGCGGATCCACAGAGGGCGTGGCCTGTGGGCGGAGATAGGGGCGGGGCTTGTGGGAGGGGCTTTGGGTGTGCTGGACCCCGAGTCCCTTGCGCGGACCTAGGGGCGGGAATAGGGACCGGGCGGAGGCTCTGGCTGCTGGGTGGTGGAGCAGCGCTGCCCTCGCTGGTGGTACTGCGACTTCCCTCTTATCTGAATTTCCTCGGAGACATCAGAGTGAGACTCAATGGCTCCAGTTCACAGGTGGGGAAACTGAGGTCAAGACCGGTGACCTCAGCTGTCCGGGTGCACGCCTCTGCTGCTCTCCCGCGGTGTTGTCCCTTCCCAGACTTCCCATGCCCAGCCTTCTGCAGAATGCGGTTCCTGTTTCCAGCCGCGTGCCCTTTTCTTTGACTCCTCTAGGTTTTAGGGTTATTGGTTTTTGGGGTTTTTTTTTTCATTTGGGAGTCCAGTAGAAATCACCAGGACACCTTGCGGGCCACTGCGGGTTCAGCCCACTCCTGTTAACAAGCGTCCAGATGCCCCGAGCTGTCCCCCAGTCGCTAGCAGCTCTGCGCCCATGGGCTCCTGAATGCCCAACTGGGATCGGGGCGAGCTGCCAAGCTATGAGGCCGGGAGCGGTGAACCGCCGGGTCTTTGATCTTTCTTAGTTTCCGTTCCCCCTCCCCCCTGCAGTTCTCCAGACCCCAAGGGCCTGTTTGTTTTGTCTGGGGAGGTCTCTGCAAAAGGGGAGGGCGACTTGAAGGCTTCCACCCCACCTTTGTGGTCCTCAGAATGCTGCCTCTGCTGTCCACACCAGGGCTCTTCTCTAAGCTCATCCTGGTATCTGGCAGCCTGAGCGTGGGAAAGAATCAGTTCAGCTCTTATAGCTAGACTCTGCTGCTGGCCTCAGTTTTATGATCTGTACAATGGATACTTGGTGTTACCCTTTTTTTTCTTTTTCTTTCTTTCTTTCTTTCTTTCTTTTTTTTTTTTTTTTTTTTTTTTTGCCTGTTCCTTGTGCAGCGCTACTCAGTAGAAACAGATGAGCTACATTTGTCATTTTAGATTTACAAGTAGGCACTTCGTGAGAGGAGCTCTGGGACTCACGCCGGGCAGCAAGCACTCTGCTATTAAGTTATGTCTTCAGCCCTAGGCACCACAATTTTTGAAAAGTTAAAAGAAACAGGTGTCTCAGCCAGATAGCTCAACTGGTAAAGGTGCTTGCCACCAAGCCTGGGGATCTGTCCCATCCGCAGAAACCACGTGGTCACAGGAGAGGCATCTGCCGCAAAATTGTCCTTTGGTCTCCACATAAGTGCTGTGGAGTGCCCACATACACACATACTAAATAAATAAATGTAGTTTAAAAATCAAAAAAGGAGACAGGTGAAATTAGTTTGACCCACTATAGCCAAAATAATAAGTCGTCACATTCTTTGTTTCGCACTGTCTTTAAAGTGGAGTGCGTTTTGCACCTGAAACACTTCTCAAGCAGAAAAGCCACATTGCAGGTGACCTTTGCACGTGGCTGGTGGCCACTGCACTGTGAAGCACAACTCCCAGCATTTGCCTGTCTCAAAGGACGAGAGAGCCCAGTGCTGTGTGGCCCTCCAGAATTCTTCATCCCTCATCGTGCTTACCCACCCCTTTTGGAGGACATGAAAGCTAATCTGAGTGCACACCTCAATCGTTCAAGCATGGCTGGGACCTCATGTACAGCAATAGTACAGTTGAGTGTGTGTGTGTGTGTGTGTGAGAGAGAGAGTGTGTGTGTGTAAGAGAGAAAGAGTGTGTGTGTAAGAGAGTGTGTGTAAGAGAGAGAATGTGTGTGTTTGTGTGTGTAAGAGAGTGTGTGTAAGAGAGTGTGTGTAAGAGTGTGTGTAAGAGAGAGTGTGTGTAAGAGTGAGTGTGTGTAAGAGTGAGTGTGTGTAAGAGAGTGTGTGTGTAAGAGAGAGTGTGTGTAAGAGAGAGTGTGTGTAAGAGAGAGTGTGTGTAAGAGAGTGTGTAAGAGAGAGTGTGTGTGTAAGAGAGTGTGTAAGAGAGAGAGTGTGTGTGTAAGAGAGAGTGTGTGTGTAAGAGAGAGAGACAGAGAGAGAGAGAGTGAGAGAGAGTTGAGTGAAGGGCTCACACTGTAGCCCAGGCTGGTCTTGAAACTGCAATGGCGTTCTTGCTTTAGACTCGTATATACTGGGATTGCAGGGGTAAGGCACCACTCTGTTGTCAGTTGTATATTGCCATATCTTTACTACCTGTCGTATTCCTGTCCTCTGTCACCCTCACAACCACTCTTGATACAGAATTTTGTACTTGTAGAAAGGACAGGTCCTGTTAGGTAAGCTTAGGGAGGTGGAGTTACTTGTCCAAGGAGTTACCCATCACACAGCTGATTAGTGACCTAGTTAAGAACCAACCTCAAACCGATCCTTCACTGACACTTATTTTCACTGGCCCAGGTTTCCAGAACATTCTAAACCTAATATCTGGAAAGAAATTGTATGTACCAGCTATGAGGTAAAACATTGTTCTAGCACTTCAAATACGTATCTGAATAAGAGGGATGGTGCCGCTTTCATGGGCCTGTCCCCCACGTGTCCTGGGTAGAAGAAGAGAGACAAGAAACAGCAGCCATGGTGAATGGCACACAGTGTGGAGGACAAAGGTCAACTTGTTTGTATCCAGGAAAGGGTTAATCTTGCCCAAGACAGTAGGGGGTTTCCAAACACCCACTGTGCCCAGGACACCCCCAGAGTCACCTGGCCCAGATGTCTAGGGTAACATACATAGCATGTGAGCTGTGAGGGAACAGAAGAGCAGACCCCGGGACCGGGAGAGAGTGGCCCAGGTCATAGGTCCTGAGCTGTCGGGGACCATCCTGCAAAGCCCTTGCTATAGAAGTGAGTTCCTGTGAGGTCCCTGCTGCCTTTCTCCCCACACCCACCCCACTGCCAGGGGCTTCGAAATCAAAGCGACGCTCTTTCTCACAGAGCTTAGAACACTGGTTACTTCCTTAAACCTGTCATGGCTTTCTTCTTTCATGAGAAAACAGTATCCCCTCTGCCCCTTGGGAATGTCTCTTTGCAGTTCAAAAAGAGATAAAAGCAAGGACTAAAACTCTGTAGTTACCAGCTTGAGTCTTAGGGGAAGTAAATCCCAAGTGTCTGGCCAGACGCAGGGCCCCACCAGGCGCCTGGGACTTTGCTGCTGCCGGACTCTGGCCGCTTCCATCTATGTACGCCCCGGCCCTGGCTTGAGAAGCCAGCAAATGGGGCAGGTGGGGCTTTATCACCTGTCCAGGACTCAGGGGAGGGACTCTCACCAGGGCACCGTCTACCTGGAGTGGCTCTTTGCCCTCTGCGGGCTCCCCACCCCATCGCTTGCTGTCTTTTTCTGTTTTAATAATTTATCTGGCCCATTTTCTTGGGCTGTATACTTACAGTGACACATCTCTTTCTTTGAAGATTTCCCATCCTTTGGGGGAGGAGAACAGGAGAGGAAGGCCATGAAGAGATAAGAGAAAGAGGTTAGAACCACCGCCTGCACGGGGCTGCAGATTTCATGAGGCTGAGTCGGAGAAATATGTCAGATGAAGGGCAAGATATATTTTTTTCAAAAACCCCATCACCCTGGTTGGCTGCCCATATGCCAAGTTAATCTGTCTGATCTGGCTCCTGTCACACGGCACTGTCTGGGATAGAAACCCTCCTTGGCCTTCCATACTCAAGGCTCACTCTCTAAAGAGCCAGGCACCGGCCCGGCTGCATCCAGTCAGCACTCCTTATTTTTAATAAGAAGGCTGCTTTCCCTCCCGTGACTTCCTTGAGGACAGGCTCCCACTGTCTTCCATCTCCTGGTGTAGTCCCTAACATAGTTCCATCCATAACATGGAGCCTCAACTCTTGGGTACGTTGTAGTTCATAAGAAGTAGAAATATGATCTGGGGTCAGGCATACTGGCTCAAGCTTGAAGTTCCAGCACTCAGGAAGCTACGGCAGGGGCATTGTGAGTTGGAGACCAACTTTGGCTACATAATGAGACTACGATCTAGGGGAAAAATCAACTCTCAGCTTCCCCTGGTTCCTTGCAAGCTCCTGACTTTGCTGCATTTCTGCGTTCCCTGGGAAAGTAGGACAGCTGAGGCCAGGAGACCTGGTTGTGGGGTCGGGGCATGGGGGTGTAACCCAGGAGAAAGGGTGGAGGTCTCAAGACTGAGAGTCTGAAACAAGAGTGGTTAATTGGAGGCCCAGTAAAGGCTCACATCCAGGGACGTGAGGGAGTAGCTTGTCCGATGCAGAGTGCAGTTGGCAATTCTCAGTTGCTTGAACCTGTGCTGTAGCCTCTCTCCACTGCTCTAAACCCTGGGCGAACTCTCACCACATCCCTGAGCTAGCGACACCCCTCACCCATGGGACACTACCACAGGTATAATCCAGGGAGCCAGTTGGCTGACAGAAGGGTTGGAAAAGAGGCAGCCAGGGGTTGCACAGCCCCAGCATTGGCTCTGGGGAGTGCAATGGGAGAAGATGGGCTCCCCAGGATAAGCACAGATCCCTCTGTATTTGGACTTTAGAAGAAAGATGTCAGAAGGCAGGAACCCGTCTCCTCCAAAGGCTGGCTGAATGGAACATTCGTGGTGGGAACTCCTCCCGATTCACAGTGTGTCCCAAGCTCAAAGCACAGACATCCCTTATCCCTCAGAGAAACTCTCAAATTATTCTTTTACAAGAGAGAGAAAGTGTTTGGGTTTGTTCATTTTCCATTAAATGCAACAACATAGGCTCAACCCCCATACCTAGACTCCCTGTCCATAAACTGGAAGGAAGGACAGGTCGGCTCATCAGTTCTTTTCTGTGCATTACGTATACATGGTGGGTGTGATT